ATTTATTTCTATTTAATTTTTTTTATTAGTATTTTTTTTTTTAATTCTTCAAATTTAAATTATCAGAAATGTTTAATTTGTTGTTATTATTCTAATTCTAATTATTATATTGAGTCTTAAAATTATTATGAGTAAGTGATTTAATTAAGTAAACAACCAAAGTCAACGAAAGTTAATGAAAACCTGAATATATGCATAGACAGCAATAGTAATTTCGCTCAGTGCATTTGTCGGCTCACATTTAATAAGCTAAAAGCATATTGAGCGGCGCTGAACTCCGAAGATATTTATCTTAAGCATATGCGCATTATTCAGTCAATAGAACCATTTTATTATGACAACAAACCAAATAAATACGGGGTCCGATTCGAGTGCCACGCGAGCTGCCAGCTTAGTGCAGAGCGTGCAACAAAACGGGGCAGTTTACAGACAAATAGCGGAAAAGAAGGAAAAATGATTCAGGTTATGAATTGGCTCTCCATGGTCGGTTACGCATATATTTCATTCATTTTGGGTGCCTTTAAGTATTTGTTTCAATTTATTTGACCTACGTCTAGGCCATAGGCCTGATACCGCTAAACCGCCAGCAATCGCGGTCGAACTTTGTGCTGGACTACGCCATGATGGTGATTGTGCCCTGCCTCTATTTGGCCTCCTATCTGGGCATCAACTTGATGGAGAGCTTCGGCCTGCCCTTCCTCGATGCCTGCAACAGCGTCTGCCGGCTGAGCAACAACCTGTTCATGCACCTGGGCGCCTTCCTCTATGTGACGATCACCCTGCTCAGTCTCTACCGGCGCAAGCAGTTCTTTGTGGACTTCGAGACGCGCCTGGCGGAGATCGATGAGGTCATCCAGAAGTGCCGACGCGTTGCTGAACTGGACAAGGGCCGCGCCCAGGCGGTCAAGCACAGTGTCGCCTACCACTTCACCTGGCTCTTTGTCTTCAGCGTGTTCATCTTTGCCCTGTACTACGACTCCAAGGAACTGTATGCGTGAGTATGATAGACTAACGAGATACCCTATTCTAGATGAGAAAAATGACAGTGGAAACGTAATTAAATAAATATCTTACCAGTTGTCGAGCGGCATAAGAGCCGAAACTAGTGATAGTCAGATAGATAGAAGACAGCTTATAGCACATTAACAGCGCACTGTTAATGCAATGTTATTTCATTTCTCGCCCTATTATACTCATTTCTGTTTCAATTTAACTCTGGTCCCATTTATTATCATATATTAATTACAGAAATCTTTCTCGACAGCCAACAGGTCAAGCTATAAATCACTCTATAAACGTCTCGCTTTTACTCTCTCTGCCTCTCTCTCTCTCTCTGTCTCTGTCACTCTCTCTTTCTACTTCTCATCTACAGCACCTTTGGCGAGTATGCGATAATACCATTTATGGTGTCGAGCTTCCCATATCTGGCTGGCAGCATTATCCAGGGCGAATTCATCTATCATGTGTCTGTCATTTCGAATCGCTTCGAGCAAATAAATAAGCTCTTCGAGAAGATAAACCAGGAGGCGCGCCACCGCCACGCCCCGCTCACAGTCTTCGACATCGAGAGCGAGGGCAAGAAGCAGGAGCGCAAGCCAACGCCCGCCGAGAAAGCAGCCGCCACCAAAGCCATCTACAGCACCGATCCCAAGTTGGCGGATGGGCTGAAGGCCCAAAAGGCGCTGCCTGCCAACCAGCAGAACGAGCTGAACTCCAGCGATGAGGAGGACGAGGATATCTTCGACTACAACGAGGGCATGATGGAAGAGAATACCGGGTGAGCTTAAGGAGATGATATCATTAAAGAGTGCTGGAAATAGAATGCATATATTTTATTGGATATTTACAATTTCCTTTTAATATTTACATATTTTAAAAATAATAATAAAACTTGTTTATTGCTTACTCAACTTTGGTAGCACCACATCAGAGGCCAATTTGCCGGATCTGTTCAAGCTGCACGACAAAATACTCGCGCTGAGCGTTATGACTAACGGGGAGTTCGGACCACAGTGCGTACCCTATATGGCGGCCTGCTTTGTGGTCAGCATCTTCGGCATATTCCTCGAGACGAAGGTCAACTTCATAGTCAGCGGCAAGAGCCGCCTGCTGGACTACGTGACCTATCTGTATGTCATCTGGAGCTTCACCACCATGGTGGTGGCCTACATAGTGCTGCGGCTCTGCTGCAACGCCAACAACCATTCCAAGCAATCGGCGATGATCGTGCACGAGATCATGCAGAAGAAGCCGGCCTTTATGCTGAGCAACGATCTCTTCTACAACAAGATGAAGTCCTTCACTCTGCAGTTCCTGCACTGGGAGGGCTACTTCCAGTTCAATGGCATCGGGCTCTTCGCACTGGACTACACATTCATATTCTCGGTGAGGCACGGCAAATGTCTATTGACAGCTTCAAATTCATTTCAATACTGCTTCACAAAAGTGAAGTGGGCATATTAGTTTTTGAATAATTATTGTCTAGAAGCATTTGACTTTGAATATCTATAAACTATATCAAATCTATATCTATAATATCTATAATCTATATAAAATCTATAAAAATATTTATAAAAGTCGGCTGATAGAGATCCGAACTAGTTCCAATTCAACTGTTATTAGTTAGTTTCTGCATCGTGCCAGCTCAGTTCATTTTTAAAGGCTTTCAGCTCATATAGAATTAAGACGAACGAGTATTAAACAGTCGCTTATCTTCGATTATTCAATTGCTTCAATTTAATTTCGTTGTTTTTTTCAGACTGTGAGTGCAGCCACGTCGTATTTGATTGTCCTGCTGCAGTTCGACATGACGGCAATATTGCGCAACGAGGGCCTCATGACCTAAGCGCTTCGCTCCAATGCAATTAAATGTGGACGAGTTTTTCATTTATGCATTTATCTACTCTATTTTTGTGTCACATTTTTAACAACTTTTATTCAGCACTGCAAAACTTTGGAATTTGCGATGAAATGCAACGAATCACTCGATGGACAGCTTTAAATGTGTGAAATATATTTTGATTATTTACTCAAAGCAAAAAGTGTTTAGCTCAAATTGAATTTGAAGGCACAAATTGATAATTTGTAAATAATCTGTGCTTGATTTACAGAGGAGTAGGGAAAACTCTATAGAAACTGAGAGTTTTCACGCGTATTGCAATCGAAAGGAATACCTAATACAAACTAGATATAGAAACTATGAGGACCTTAAAAAAAAAGTAACTGCAGCTCAGATAAGAAAATAAGAGAACTAACGCAACAGGACAGCTGGTGATGTTCGGTGCCGTTAATCGCATCAGTGCGCGTTGTTCAACACTGCCGCGGTTAACCCAAGGTAGCTGCGAATTGACGAAGGCGAATGGATGAGGCGATGGATGAGGCAGGAGGGATGGGGAGGGGGAGATGGCGCTCTAACACAATTTTATCAACTGTCAATTGAAAAACACGATTTGCCAGTCATTCAGGCTTACAGTGGCCGGAGGAAGTGGGAAGCAGGAAGGATGGAGGAGGCAGCGTGTGAAGTGCTGAGCCGCCATTTTGTGGCTGTCAAACGGAAGCGGCGAAGTGTGAAGCAAAAAGTAAGAACATGCCGCAATTTCCGCTTTCAATCACGTTTAGCGCAACGGAAATGTGCACGAAATTCGCTTGCACTTTGCAATTGGCCGCAGCTGGGAGTGACAGATGTATGCTATACAGATATATATATACACATACATAATTCATGTATATGTGTTTCTGGCTCAATTATCATAGAGCGAAAGGCTGCCTGCCACAGAGCGGAGCCTCCGAGGTGCAGGCAATCAATTAATATTTTCGATATTATGACGGCCTGTCAAAATGAGTGTGTGTGTGTGTGTGTGTGCTGACCAGACCAAGTGTAGCTTATATTACACGGCAGCTAGTGATGCGAGGTGTGGAGCCTCATCAATGCCATAAATCAATACGACGCGCAAATGTCACATGTTTGACCAGTAGCGCTGCAACTTTATAGAGAGCGAAAGAGAAGCAGACAGAGAGAGAGAGAGAGAGAGAGAGAGCGAGAGGGAGAGAGCGAGAGAGAGAGAGGGAGGGCAAACAGAAGCAGCAACAGGCCACACATTACCTGCAAATTACGTCAACTGTTGCCCATAGCACAAACCACTTGAATGACTCGCTCTCACCCACTCCCACTCCCTCTCTCTCCCTCTGCCGTCCTCTTGCTCTGTCGCTCTCCGTATCTGGCTCACTCTCCCACTCCCAGCAGGCAACGTGACCAAGTGAAATGTCAGGGCACTTTTAAGAGTTCATTTGGAATGTAGCAAATTGTATAAACTACCAAACAGGACAAACAGGACGAGCAGCCAGACAGGATGAAGAGGGACAGACGGGCAGAAGGACAGACACTGACACAGACAGCGTAGCGCACATTTATTGGTGGGCGGGGCCAATTCACACACAATACCAACAGGTTGTCTTCGCTGTTGTTGTTGTTGTTGTTGTTGTTATTTGAGTAATTGAGACTAAAATGCATTGGCCTTCAACCCAGCTCGCATGGAAAACTTTTATTTGTCTACAGCTGAGGATTTATTATGCTCAAATCATTGGCGCTGACAGCTGAGTGTACAATAGCGTGTTGTACAACACTGGCAAATCCTTTGTGGAATGCGGCTTAATCCATTGACAGCAATTCCTGCTCGAAAATAACTCAGTTGCCCGAGCTTCAGTCGGGTAAAGGCCAAGGCTGATGAATTGAAAATGAACTATAAAGCTAGAAAGTATTAGACTAATCTCATTAGAATAGTTAAAAGTCTCTGAGAATCTGCCGAAAATGAAATTGATGCTGGCTAAGTATTTATTTACTTAGACTTAGAAAACACTAGGCGAGAGTAACCGACTAGAAGATACACCCCATATCGCAACCAATGTCTGCATATCTCGCAATTATCTATGCACAAATCAAACCTGAGTCGCACCTCCTCGACAAGATGGAACGCCGCTACCAATGCCACTTCTATGCCTATGCCTATCTGTCTGTCCCTAGTTGCAGGGACGTAAGAGATATGCTGTTAATCTGAAATTTAATTGTGGCCGTCATTAATTACAATGCAACAGCGAGAACGTGATCTGAGAGTGCTGCTGGAGCTTTTATTGATAGACAGAGAGATGAATCGGCAGACGTAAGGATGGACAGACAGAGAAATGCACAGATGAGCTAACGGAACGACTAGCGGACGTACAGGTATACTTTGCTAGAAGTAGTGTCCGCCACGCCTTCTAGACTCGACTCGTATATATATATATAGTACTAGCTGGCCCGGCAAACGTTGCATTGCCCTCTATATTATTTCTAGGTAAAAAATTGTTGAAAGCTATGTTGTTCAGGCTGGGATACACTGATAAATTTATTAATCGGATTTTCATTCAAGCACCTTGTTGTAAACGACATTCTTCGTTTTTTGGTCGGGTGCAAGAACAAA